ATAAGGAAGAATAAAATGAACAATATGGATGTAACTCACATATAAAGAGATACTTTGAAGAAATAGACATTTTCCAATGTTAGAAGCCATTCTACCCAGAGAAGAAACCTGCACGAATACCAACATGGCCACATCCCAATGGACACAAGTAGCTCAAATTTGCTTTTATGTTTCATCTTCTCTCAGAGCCGGGAATACAAATGTAATGCAGATAAGGGGATGCATTAAGAATAACCACGTCACCGGAGCCATGTCACAGGATGCACAGCCTGAACACACCTCCTTTAAGTCGGTGGAGTGGTTGCTGCTGATGGGCAAGGAGGAAAGCAAAGCTATAGGCACAAAAGACAGAACAGTTCCACTCAGAGCCCTGGAATCACACTCTGCTCCCACTGGGTTATCATAAAGACCAGAAGGAGCTTTGGGGATCTCCTTGGCATTTAATTACAGGATCCATCCATCCATCAATTACACGACCTTCTTCATCTCATTATCAGATGGGTACATTTTCCAAGGGGACGAGTGGGAATTAGGTTCTACTTCCTTCAGACACTGACATGCTTTAACATTCAGATCCTGCCTTTTGTGCCATCCCTGGGAAATTTCCCACGTGACCGTATTGCTACTGCCACCATCCAGATGCTAGTCTTCCATATCCTTCCTCCCAGCATAGACCAGTTCCTCTCAAGTGTTAGCCCTCTGCACTCTGGATGTACCATGTGGACTCAACTTCCACGTGTCCCCTTACTATCCTCCTTATCTCTCTCCCCCACACTGCCCCACCAAAGGGCTCCTGTGTTTCTTGCTGGTTCCACTCCATCCACCCAAGCGGTCCACGGGAGACCTGGAACCTTCACTCTTCCCATTCAGGAGTCACCAAATCCTGTCAACTGTAATCTGAAGTGCCTCTTGAGTCTTTCCCTTCATCTCTGTCATACCTGCTGCTACCTTACAATTATTCCCACCTGGATTACCAGAACATCTTCCCCAGGGTTCTCCTGCCTCAGTCTGCATCCTATATGCCTATCTCATCACTTAGTATAATCAATGTTGCTTATTGATCTCTCTCCAAATGGTCCCCGAGTCCTCTGAATATGATATGGCGTGCTATCTCTTTCTATTCTGTACCTTTAACATAATATCCTGCATGAAGTCTATGTTCAATTAACATTTAGTAAATGAATGACCACAGATCCCAAAGTGTCAGACTTCTCAGGAAAAGGGATGGGTTAACTAGCAAAATTACTGCTCACCAACTTTGCTCCTGTTCCAGTCAATTCTGTGACTTCACGGAGACTAAAAATTGATTTAAGCATGTGCAATAATCTCTACCTTCTTCATAGCAACCCTTTCTGATTTTCTTGCTTGTTTAGCTCTCACATAAGATGCCCAGTGTCCTCCTTTCAAGACCCGTTTTTAACAAAAATCACTTGTCCTTGCTTCTAATTGCTACAAAGTTTGCATTTGAGGATTTCCTTTTTAACTACAGAAAACCACCTCTTTAGAAATGAGGCTTTATTAACATGGTACTATGCAAAGGACAGTTGGGTAGGAGGGAGGAGACAGAATTCCAGGGAGAATTGAGTCAGCACTTGAACGTGCCTCTTGGTCTGCCAGCTGTTGCCCAGAAGCCCAAGCTTGTTTTGGTGCATGCTCCCCATCCAAAATCCTCTGTCCCAGGACATTAGTTCACTTAACTCTCTGAATATCACGACTCTACTTAAGACATAACAGAAAGAAAATGAAACTGTTGTTTTAGGACTCCACTGCACTAAGATCATGTGGGCTAGGGGGACACCTAGAGTCCTGATCTGATTGGGATGTAGGAGGAAGGGCTCTGGACAGAGAGAAAGCCCTACCCAGATAGCTGCAGATGATGTTCTGAACCAGTGTGGACAAGGGCCCTGACCTCAACTTTCTGCTCAATTTTTCTGTAAAAATTTTCTGTAAAAATTTCTGTCTAAAATTGCTCTAAAAATGAAAGTCTTTCAATTTAAAGAAAATTTAAACAAAACGAAGGGAGGAGGTGAGGGGAGCAGGCCCTGGCCAATGAGAAATTTCTTGTACTGGAGACAGTGGGAGCACTTGTTGCGTCTTCTGCTCTTCCAAGCTGTATCCTCCCTCCAGAGCCTCAGACACTCAGTAACGAGTGAAGTTCAGTCTAAAGCTGCTGGTGTTAGTGGGACTTTGGAAAATGGGAAGAGGAATGATGTCCAGCAATGAGAAAGGCTTAAATACTCACAGGGGAAGATCAAGAATTTGGAGTGAGAGGAGATGACAAGAATGCAAATCTCAAGGCCCTGTCCAACATGGTGGCCATTAACCACGTGCCTATTGAGCACTGAAAATGGGACTTGTCTAAACCGAGAGGGTTAAACTAGTATGAAAAAAGTCGAATATCTCAATAATTTTATACTAATTACATGTTGAAATGATAATATTTTGGATACAGAGGTTAAATAATATATATTATAAAAATTAATGGTACCCTGTCCCTTCTTGCCTTTTTTTAATGTAGTTATTAGAATACTTGCAATTAGACACATGGCTTTGCATCATATTCCTCTAGAATCCCGGAGAAAATCATGGAGTCCCTACAGTCTAAGGTCTAAGGAGCTTAAATGACCTTTTTTTTTTTTTTTTTTTTGGACATCAAGGAAGAAAGCAAATTAATAAAAACATTAAAAAGAAAAGAGGGTGACCCTCGAAAGTTAGGACTCTAGACAGTGACATTGACAGATTAAATGTGAGAAAAATATGTAAGAATAAATGACTCATTTATCTTTGACAACATTTTGTCAAATTGAAAAATAATCCCTACAAATAGCAAGCACTCTTAAAATAGGATTTAATCTAAGTAAAAATTTAACTTTTCAGGAATACATTTATAACATGAAACAAAGTATATGGTATGACTTTGCAACATAAATAAGTTCCTTAAATTTAAACTAGAAGAGAAAAATGCAAAAAAACCCATAACAAAACAACCTCACAGGGGTTGGTGGATGCGTATTCTAACACCTTAATGTGCTGAACAGGGACTGCTCAGATCCATGGCTCATTCACAGTAGAAACAGCAAACACACACAGGGCTGCATTCATTTATAGGATGTATTTATTTCATACCAAATTTACCCCTTGAGCTATGTTTTAGGAAATTTATGAGCAAAATATATGTGTGTGTGTGTGTGTGTGTGTGTGTGTGTGTGTGTGTGTAGAGCCAACTCTGTTAGCTGAACTGGATATAACCAGAAGACAGCCTTTTCTCTGACCAGCTATTCAAGTGGCTTCAGTACCTCTTGGTTCTATACTACACACCTAGATGGTATACTGAATTTGGAATCTGCACACTCTGACCTGGGGTAATTTAAATGACATACAGTCTCATCTCTATTTTATAATAAAGACACGAGCCACAGAGATGAATAACTTACTTGAGACCACGGAGCTGCTTACTGGCAATGGCAGGACTCATGCCACATGACGGTACCCTTGGCATCCTGGGTGTGACCCTGATGTTTCCTGATGTCCACCCTGGGTTGTCTGAAAACTTGAGTTTATTAAGTTTACTCAGAGAGGTTTCAGAGAGGATTAACTAATCTCTATATAATGTGTGTGAAAGCATTTTTTTTAAATCTTTTCTTTTTTTTGGAACTGGGGGTTGAACCCAGGGCTTTGCAAATGCAAGGCAGATACTCTGGCCACAGAGCTACATCCCAGCCCTGAAAGCTTTTTTGTAAAAAATGAATCTGTGTATATTTAAGGTGTACAGCATGTTATAAGATACACACACAGTAAGATGATTACTACGTGGAACAAATTCCCTCAGATCACATAGTTACCCTGCCCCTCCGTGGCAAGAACAGCTATCACCTGGTCTTTAGGGAAATATGTACAAGATACAATCATTAACTATCATTTTGAACTAAGCACTGGGGGGGGGGGGGCTCAGCTCCTACCCTGACCTCTTCTCACCCCAGCCTCACATGCTAGTGCTCTTTCCTGAAAAGTGACAGTTAGTTAGTGAAAGAAACAGTGGTAGCCTTCAGAAAAGCGCCCTCCCCCTTTTTTTCAGATATTTGAGGGTCACTGGCTTCAGCCGCCACGGCCATGGCTTAAGATGGCATTACTGAGTCTCTGTAACCTAAGACACTCAAAATGAAGCCCATTCCCAGGAAGGAGGTGGTGACCACATGCAGGGTACAGAGAAAAGCCACAAACAATCTCAGAGTCTGCCCCTCCCTTCTATCTCTCCCTACATCCTGCATCTGCATCCTGAACTACCCAGACACACCCTCAGCTCAAGTAACCTGCTTCTCAAATCAACACACCAACCATTCTCTTCCTCCTCTTCTTCCCAGTCAATCAAGCCCTGGCTCTGCAATGACAGGCCAGGAATACTTTGCACCACGATGCCAACTTTGTGAACCCCAGGAGAGGGGCTGGTTAGTTAATGGAAATCAACCTAAAAAATTGGGAGCTTTTTTGGGTGACAGATAATTTTCTGCTTGGAGGGCTCCCAAATGTTCCTGATTAATTCTTGCTTCTTCTTCTCCCCCCTGCCCGCCCCCTCTCTCTCTCTCTCACACACACACACACACACACACACACACACGCGCGGAAGCTAATGACCTAGCACACCAACTGTACAGTGTTCCAGGCCTCCTACCACTCATGGATATGGGATAAGACGACTTTGCAGTAGGAGTTCCTCTTTCTAGAGAAAAAGAAACAGAAGTACAAAACTGGTTTTCATTGTTCTTCCCAGAGCTAGTCCCTCTCCCGGGATTAGGGACCTCAGTGTGTCCCCAAAGGCCATGAACCATCGGTCTTGGGAACACCTGGTTTCCCCTCAGGCCTAACTGAATCCTAAACTAGAGGCAAGGGGTTCCAGGACTTCTGAGAGCACTGACGTATCCTCCAGGGGCCTGGGATGACACTAAGGGGATGACATGCTGGTGGTGACATGCCACTGAGCCAGGACGCTGGAGACACTGTACCTTTGCAGGTAAAACATTTGATGTGGAAATGTCTGGTCTGGACCCGGAGCACTTCGCCCTTGCACGGCTCCCCACATTTATGGCAGTGAATGACAGGCTTCTCTGATGGGTGGTGAGGGTCCTGCGGGTGGGCCACTGGAAGAAAAAGAAAAAGATCCAGATGATGAAGGGGGCATTCCTACAAGTGTCCTCACAGTGAGCATAACATCCCCACCATTTGGTATCCAATGAGCGACAAGTCAAATCAATAAACACGGCACCCACCCTCCGCTACAACCACTGGGTCCACAAATAACTGACGGTGGTGGCTTGAACAGTCCATCAAGGTGACATGAGGCTCATTCCTCTGTGGAGCCTGCTGTGCTGCCCCTTCCTCCCCAACTCCTCTAGCACAACGTAACTGGACCATTAAATGCAAACTCTTGTTTGGTTCAAAATTCTCTATCTTTGCAGCAAGTCTTTTCCTTGACTCAGCACATTTCAGCAGTTCACTGTAGACCGTGAGGTCCCTTGAACGTGGGGACCATTTCTTAGAGTTCATGCTTTTTCTCCCCAGTGATATGTCTCCTTTCTCCCGAAGCTCCTGAGGACGTAGCAAAATGCTCAGCCCAGCAAATGTTTTTATTTATGTATTAATTAGTACATGATGGACAGTTCTGCCACAGAGTATTTCCTGATCTTCATTCAGCACCTCATTTAGCCTGTTGGAGGGTTATAGGACCCTGCCATTATGCCACAGTTCCTGACACACACAACTGTGGGCAATAATGAAAAAAGAAAACAAAACCCATTCAGATTCCTTCAAACCTCGGTTTCCTTTCCCATAAATTAAAGGGATCAGACCAGATGATCTCTAGGTCTTTTCAGACCCTAAAATCACATGGAGGGGCTTACAGGGATTACTCTCTCCATCTCCAGAGTGTGCTTTTCAGAGAACAGAAGTTGTTGTGACTGCCCTGTCCTGGAAACGGGATGCACAGCCTCTGCTTTGCAGAGCGCCATGGGAGAAGGCAACAAGGGGACACCTGTGGCTTTCAGCAAACCAGGTGTCTTAATTTCACTCAGTTTCTTCAACCAGTGTGTGCACATGGCCCTTGTTGCTATGAAATTCCTTTTCTGACTGAGGTCATTAGAACCCATGTGATATAAAAACACGTATCACGTAAGTACCTCCATGAGGGTTATATGAGATAAGAAGAGGAAACCTAAAATTCATCCATCAACACAAGGAACATAGGTGATTTTTTTTTTCTTGTCTCATGATAAAACTGCATCAGGCAGGACAGTGGGGGACAGATCCTGCTGACACTCAATTTAGAAAGCACCTTAAAGCAAGGAGCTCTCTGTACATTGTAAGGACAATAGTTCACTGTTTCCCTCAGACCTCTGTAATGTTCTCATTTTTGCCTGGAAAAAAGTCTGAACAAGATAGTCCAATAATCCATTACTGGCTAACTTCTGAGGAACAAGGTTCCTCTTGTGAGACTTTGACTAAGAGCAGGTGTCGTTTCGGATTAAACACCTGATCCGCACTCTCTACACTGGATCCTGCGAATGTCCAGCCAAGGTACCAACCTTGCAATTCACTTGCGTTTCCTTATCTACCTGAAGGGATCTCTCTTGAAAACCTGTATTTACAACAGAACTCAGTATTTTCTAAAGGAATCAAGGAGGGGCATGCTATAAAAATCTCTAAACAACCACTGACTTTGAAAGTGATGTGTATCAAGGCCAAAAATCTATTTACCTTAATATTTGCTTTAAGAGCTGATAGAGAACATGTGAGGGTTTTTTTTTTTTTTTTCTTTTTTTTAGGTTAACTCCTGCTTCTCAGGAAAGTAATATTTACCAGTGTGTGCTAATGCAGGCATGGTGCTAGAGCCTACACACGTTACTTCATTCCCTCCTCCCCACCCTTCTCTCTCAGCCAGGTGGGCCTTGTTGTTCCCAGAGATGCTGAGTAAGGGTGAGTGCAAAGACCTTTACCCAGGCTATTTCGACTCGGGTCTCTCAGGCTCCTCCCAGGGTATTTGTACAAATCAGGAAATCGTTATAAGTCAGACCATAATTTATTTAGCCAAATTCAAGTGCAGTTCTAACAGCAGCAACTAGGGCTTGGTTTATGCAGGGAACACTCACACTGGGTGCTGCAGGCATTCCCCAGCTGGGCCTGGCACCCAGGGGGCAGTTCTCAAGGTAACTATGTGGATCCCCAAATCAGAACCCCCAGTGCCAGTTAATATGGCTAGTATCAGAAAGACAAAAATAACAAATGCTGGTGAGGAGCTAGAGAAAGGGAGCTCTCATAGCAGTTGGTGGGAATGTAACGTACCCATATGGAAAACAATATAGAGATTCCACAAAAAATTAGAAATAGAACCTCCATACGTTCTACTGGGTATCTGTCCAAAAGAAATGAAATCATTATGTTAAAGAAACATCTGACTCGAGTGCTCATTGCTGTACTATGCACAACAGTTAAACAGAATCAACCTAGGACAAAGAAAATGTGGAATATATACATAATGGAATATTAACATAAAAAGAATGTGATTTTGTCATTTGCAACAACGTAGATGGAATAGGAAGGCATTATGTTAAATGAAATAAGGCAGATACAGAAAGGAAAGTACCTCGTGTTCTCAAATATATGTGAAAGCTAAAAAAGTTGATCTCAAAGAAATAGACACCGGAGTAGTGGTTTCCACAGTATGGGGATGGTATGGGTGAGGGAGGGGTGGAGAGCAGATGGTTAGGACACAGAGGTGCAGCTGGGTATGAAGAATAACTGCTAATGTTCTATAGTACAGTAGAATAACTATGGCTGACTCTAACCAATTGAATATTTCAAATAGTTAGGAGAGAGTATTTTGAATGTCACCCAACACAAAGAAATGATATATGTCTGAGATTGTATATAGATCAGTTGCCCTGATTTGATCCTTACCCATTAGATAGGTATTAAGATAGCTCCCTGTGCCCCCCAAACATGTACAATTACTATGTGTCAATCCCAGTGGCTCGGGAGGCTGAGGAAGGAGGATTGAGAGTTCAAAGCCAGCCTCAGCAAAAGTGAAGTGCTAAGCAACTCAGTGAGACCCTGTTTCTAAATAAAATATGAAATAGGGCTGAGGATGGTGAGCGTCCCTGAGATCAATTCCTGGAAGGCCTCCCTCCCCCTTAAAAACATACAGTTAAAAAAATGCAGATTTTCCCCGGAGGATCTTCTTTTCTAGTAAACTACTCAGGAGGTTCTTACACATACTCCAGATTAAGAACTTCAGAATTCTTACATTTTCAGTAGGTCAGCTAGAGAAGGGTGAGAACAACAAAGAGTAGTAGTTCTCAAGACCCTCCTTTTCAGATGGATATGAGAATACATAGAGTGAATCCCTTAACCACGAGGAGGATGCATTTTGGGATAAGAAACACTGGTTTCTCTGAACACTGAATCGCCTACCCTGAGCAAGCCAGCCATGCTGAGTAATGATGAGCCAAGGAAAGTATCATTTCACTTCTTGGCTTTTCTCTATGTCTGAATAAAAAGGAGTCAGTGCAAATGCTGGCACGAGCTGCAAAGGTCAGAATGGGGATCAGCATCTGCATTTTGCAAGTGTTTCCCTTTGGAAATATATATTACACCGCAAAACCCTCCCTGCCCCCAAATGACTTTCACCTTCACCCAGAGAGGGGCAGACTGCTCAGTGTTCACTCGCCTGTCCTTCATCCAGCAGCCCAGGCGGGCACACAGCAGAACCCTCATTTGCAAAGAAATGAGATTTTCTTATTAGGGAATGACAGAATCCAAAAGACCAAAGAGAACCAGTGTATATTTTATCCCAACTCAAATCAGTGGAGACAAAAGAATCTCTTTTCCTTTTTAAGGATGAACAAAGAAGTTAACTGTCTTTGAAAATTTGGTAATTACCAAACGTGTGTTTGTGGATTTAATTCTATGATTTTGAAATATGCTGAGTTGGTTGCAACACAAATGTGACATTAATGCTGTATTCCTCTCATCTGCAACTGGCTCCATTGCTAATCTTTCTTTGATGGCTCCATCTTTCAGAGCCTGGGAGGGTCCCTGTTTATTCTACTCATGGGCAAATTAGGAGCAGAGTATTAAAAAGTGACCAGCAAGTTATTCTCAGAGATACACTTTGCCCTCAGACTTCCCAACCCTTCCCACCATACCAACTCCGTCAATGATTCACCCTGGAACTTGGGTTAAAGTCTTCCATTAGCTCACTAATTTTGTTGCCAAAATAAGAAGAGTAATGAAACCAAAAGTGAGGTTGAACACTTTCTGGATAATGAGGAAATACACAGGAAGAGCCACAAGTCTGTTTGCCTGAAAGGCTGAAGAGATTCTTCTACTACCTGCTGTCCAGTTTGGAGAGAAGCTGGCTATTTAGACCAAGCTGTCTACTCCAAGGTGGAAGAGTTTCATACTGTTTTTGTAGCCAAGCAGATTAGTCACATGGTTGAAACTCCTGTGCAGGACAGAAACCAAAAGTCCCTTTTTGATGCATTGATTTTAAAACATCTCAGGGAATGAGCCTGAAATTCAGGCCACAGAAGAAATTCCAGTAACCTTTGGCTTCCTCAAGCAGAGGCCATCACAGGCCTTAGAGGAAGGCCGAAAGGCAAAGCAGAGTCCTTCCTCAATTCCAGAACCAGCCTCGCCTTGGCCAAGCTCCATCCTTCTGGGGCATGGACCATAGAAACAGCACATCCAAGAAGTCACATCCTCCTTAGTGGTAAAGATCACAACCCTGAGGACCTGGCATGAGCCGTGCCTTGCTCCCAGTCGCCTGGAATGCTCAATCTCATGGAACCAAACTGCCCCTTCCAGTCCCCTTCTCCCTCCACAGCACCATGGCTCCCTTAACCAGCCTGTGAAGGGACACAGTGCTTCATGGCTTTCACGTCCACTGCTCACTGCACTCTCAAGAGCCCCGAGGGGTGGGAAGAAAAGGTACTGTCGACCCCCTTTTGACAACGGCAGGCTCAGAGACCAACCCACTCTCCCACAGTGACCCAGCCCAGGGAGCAGAGCTGGCAGTAAACCAAGGCAGTGACTCCGAATCCAGAGCCATCCCCTAATCACCGCTTATCATGGACGCTCCGGCAGT